GAGAACATGGAGTTTGTGGTTACCTGAGTAGGAGAATAGATCATTGCTGTGTACACATTCCAAATGTTACACTTGAAATTGAGAAAGATATTTCTTAACTGGCAGAAGTGGAAACAAAAACCAAGGAAATTGAAAAGGAAGCACAGCATAACTGGATAGGAGCAGTATTTGATTCTTTGGGGCTTCACCTGTCTGGCTGGATTACATCTGCTATACAGTATGCACTAATGTTTTTAGTATTTTTAGTGACTATATGGATTGTATATAGATGCCTCTTAGGAGTGATCGAAAAGGAAAAGAAGCGATCTCTCCGGTTGCTGAAGGCCATGACCCGCGGGCGGCAGAATGAAGAACACTCCCCACCTCGTTATGAAGATGTTACTGTCAATACTGTTGATTGAGCATCCTTGCAGTAGGACTGAAGGATGCTCAAAAGGGGGGAAATGTTGGAAAAGAAATGAAATTTAGCAAAATGTGTAATTATAGTTTAGTTATGAGTTGTGTGTGAATTGGTTTGTTAAAAGCAGTTTTGCAGTTTTGCAGCCGTTGATAGTGTGTGTGTTTGGTTTGTGTGTAACTTAGCAGGTAGTCTTAGGAATTTAGTAAATAATTAAACTAGTGCAGGAGAGTAAGAATGCTAACCTGTCTGAAGGCAGCATACAATGCTCTTAGAATAAGATAAGCAGAAGATTTATGATCTTGCCTGTGAACTAAGGAATGTATCACAAAGGAACTGTTTCTTGGAGACTTTGTTGTGAATCGCATGTATAAGAGGGAAGCACCCATACGTGAAATCGGGGGCTTGGGTTTTTGGGACGTGAGTCCCCCAGCACCAAGGGCCCGTAATAAAGCACCCACAAAACTTATCCGAGTTTTGTGTCATTTATCAATCGGGCAACACCCGGAGCCCTGCGGGACGAAGGGGAGATGGGGATGGGGCGATGCAAAAGTCAGGCAGAGGTGTCCAATTAATTAATGGGTGGATTTGGGCTCATTGCAGGGTTTAAGGAATTTTTCAATACAGGAGACCTCTGCTGGACATTTGAGGCAAGAAAAAAGGATTCTGGGGCAAAAGCAGAGAAGCTTTGCGGATGGGGGAGTGGCCGTGACCCTGCTGGAGTGCGGGGGGGGACCTCCAGCCCCCCGGGGGCTCCATGCGCCTCCTCTGCCGAGGGTCCGGGTTCAGTTTTGGGAATTTTGGGATGGGCTGGATGCACTGGAGACCCAGGCAGGGGTTTGAGTGGGTCGGAACCATCACCAGCAGTGGTGGCGTCACCAGGAACGCGGATTCCGTCAAAGGCCGGGTCACAATCTCCAGGGACAACGGGCAGAGCTCGGTGACGCTGACCATGAACAACCTCAAGGACGAGGATTCCGGATCCTATTTCTGCACCAAGGACACCGATGGTCACGGTGCTTATGCTGATGCTGGTTGGGGAGGATGGAACAGCAAAGCCTTATCAATATGGGTATATTGATAATATCAATAAGTCGGGTAAAAAATGTTGAGAATATGGAGACCATCAGAGAGATTGAAATGAAAGCAAGCTTTGAGATCCCTCAGGGACTGAACAACTGGAAAACAACGGCGTGGCCGGCTGAAGGTGAGCCCATTTTGATGGAACAACACCCTCTGCCTGCAGACAGCTCCAAGGGTCAGAGCGACCCTACAGCTTGGCAGAAGGGCCCAAAGAGGAGTTTTTAGGGTTTAAAGTTACTCCAAAAAGGAGTTTTTAGGGTTTAAAGTTCTTCCAAAGAGGAGTTTTTAGGGTTTAAAGTTGCTCCAAAGAGGAGTTTTTAGGGTTTCCAAAGAGCAGGTTTTAGACTTGGCAGAAGGGTGCCAAAGAGGAGTTTTTAGGGTTTAAAATGTAATAGAGTACGGTAATGAAAGGCTTCTTTTAGGGTGTATGGAAATGCTGTAGGGTTTGTATATTGTATTAGATTGGTTAGTGAGAATTAGAATATTCTACAGAGAAGAAGATTTATTGTATTGTGGTGGGAACCTCACTCTCTTACCCTTTTATTCTCTTACAGTTTTATGTTCTTACCCTTTTACACTCTTACCATTTTATTCACTGACTTTCACTCTCTTAGCCTTTTTATTCTCTCACCCTTTTACTCATTTACCCTTTTTACTCTCTTACTCTCTTCCCGTCTCATCCTCTCTCCCCTCTCTTCTCTCAGCCCTGCTCCAGCTGTGCCTGGCAGCTCCCAGCAGGGCCCTGCAGTTCGTCCTTTGCAATAAACCCCAAATTCCAGACCTGGCTGCAGAGATCTCTCGTATCCGTCCGTCTGTCCCGGCCGTCCTGCTCCCGGATGCTCCTGCAGTGCTGGATGGGGAATGGGGCCAAGCCCGGCACGTCAATAGAAGCAACACCATAAGTACCATCAGGAGTATAAGCATATTTGGCACAGAAATAGTATCCGGAATCCTCGTCCTTGAGGTTGTTCATGGTCAGCGTCACCGAGCTCTGCCCGTTGTCCTTGGAGATCGTGAACCGGCCCTTGACCGAATTTGCGTAGCTGGTGCTGCCAGTGGTGCTGATATCTGCAATGAACTCCAGCGCCTGCCCGGGTCTCTGGCGGATCCAGGCCATCACAATAATCCCAAAATCGATCCCGGGCGCTCGGCAGAGGAGGCGCAGGGATCCCCCGGGGGGCTGGAGGTCCCCCCCACACTCCAGCAGGGTCACGGCTGCCCGGAGCCCTGTGGGACAAAGGGGAGATGGGGGTGAGTGGATGCAAAAGTCAGGTGGAGGTGTCCAATTAATTAATGGGTGAACTGGGGCTAATTGCACAGTTTAAGGCACTTTATCATTCTGGAAAACTCTGTTGGAGATTTGGGGACAAACAAAGGGAATTGGGGGCAAAACCAGTGAAGGTTTGGGGATCGGAGAGCGGCCGTGACCCTGCTGGAGTGCGGGGGGAACCCCCAGCCCCCTGGGGGGTCCCTGCACCTCCTCTGCCGAGGATCCGGGTTCAGTTTCTGCAATTTCAGAATGTTCTGGATCCGCCAGAGACCCAGGTAGGGGTTGGAATACGTCGCAGCGATCAAGAACGATGGATCCAGCTACACCTACGCATCATCAGTGCAGGGCCGGTTCAGGATCTCCAGGGACAACGGGCAGAGCTCGGTGACGCTGACCATGAACAGCCTCAAGGACGAGGATTCCGGATCCTATTTCTGCGTGAAAGCTGCCTCTGATACTTGGGGTGCTGCTGCTGATGGTATTGACCCCATCCCCATGGCCGTGTCCCCACCCTTCCAGGTTCCCCAGACCCTTCTCCCAAACTCTGCCCCTGACCCCATTTCTGACAACATCTCCCAACCCTGCCCTGGCTCTGCCCAAAATTCTCCGCTCTTGGCCACAAAATTGACCGAAATCTTAACCCTTGACCAGAAGTATCCACTTTCAGAATCAAGTTTTGGGGTAGAAAGAGGAGATTTGGGGTCAGGAGTTGTGGTTTGGGGTCAGCGGGTGAGAATTGGGGCCGAGGCAGAGCAAGGTTGGGATCAATGGTCAAGGGCTGGGTGTGGGCTGCGGGTTTGGGTGAAGGGTCTGGGGAACGGGGACAGGGGGGGACACGGGGATGGGGACACAACCATCATCATCACCTCAATTAGCAGCAGGACCACCAAAACCTATACCAGAAGATTTCTCGCAAAAATAAACGGCGGAATCCTCATCCCTGAGGTTGTTCATGGTCAGCGTCACCGAGCTCTGCCCGTTGTCCCTGGAGATCCTGAACCGGCCCTTGAAGGATGGATTGCAGTAGGTGTTCCCACTGCTGGCGATCACCGCAAGCCCCTCCAGAGTCTGCCCGGGTTTCTGGCACATCCACATCATCCCAAAACTGCCGAAACTGAACCCAGACCCGCGGCAGAGGAGTCGCAGGGACCCCCCGGGGGGCTGGAGGTCCCCACCGCACTCCAGCAAGGTCACGGCCGCCCGGAGCCCTGCGGGACAAAGGGGAGATGGGGATGGGAAACCTGATTGGTCCAGGGCCTCAGAGTGGGCTTAGCCATTTGGAAAAAAGGGACAGGACCCACCTGGGAGGAGGAGGGTGATGAACGGCAAGGGTCCAAATTTGGGGCCAATAGTTGGGATGTTGGGGTCAAGGGTTGAGCTTTGGCCTCATCCCCATCTCCCCTTTGTCCCACAGTGCTCCAGGCAGCCGTGACCCTGCTGGAGTGCGGGGGGCACCTCCAGCCCCCCGGGGGATCCCTGCGCCTCCTCTGCCGAGGGTCTGGGTTCGATTTTGGGAAATTTGCAATGGGCTGGATCCGCCAGAGACCCGGGCAGGGGCTGGAATTCATCGCCAGCGTCAACAGTGATGGTGGCAGCACCAGGTACGTGGATTCAGTCCAGGGCCGGTTCACGATCTCCAGGGAGAACGGGCAGAGCTCGGTGGCGCTGACCATGAACAACCTCAAGGGCGAGGATTCCGGATCCTATTTCTGTGCCAAATCTTCTGGTGTTAGCACTGCTCTTACTGCTTTTGTTGGTGTTTGGGTTGGTGTTTGGGGTCCTGGCCTCGTCCCTGTCCCCAGCTGTCCCCAAACCCTTCCCCAAACCCCCCTGTCCCACTCCTGACCCTTTGTCCAAGCCCCGCCCCCTTTGCCCCAACGCTGCCCATTGGCCCCAAACCCTGCCCTGGGTCTGCCCCCAAACTCAACTCTCGGCCCCAAATCTCCCACTTGTGCCCCAAAATTGCCCCAAAGGGCCGACATTTGGGCACAGCGGGTGAGGTTTGGGTCAGCGGCTGTGGCTGGGAGCCCAGAGTGGGGATTTGGGGCAGAATCGGGCGAGTTTTGGGGCCAAAGCTGGTGGGTTTGGGGCAGAACTAGTTTGGGGGTTTGGAGTCTTTAGTCTCTATTGGTGGAAATGGGGGAGATCTCGGCAAAGGGGTCAAGAATGAGGTCAAGGGCTGAGATTTGGGTAAAGGTTCTGAGATTTGGGGATAAGAGGGGCTCAGGCACGGGCGCTGCCACCACCGGCATGGTCAATGTAAGCAGCAGCAGCCCAAGCAGCACCAGCAGCTTTGGCACAGAAATAGGATCCGGAATCCTCATCCTTGAGGTTGTTCATGGTCAGAGTCACCGAGCTCTGTCCGTTGTCCCTGGAGATCCTGAACTGGCCCTTAACCGAATCTGCACAGTTGGCGCTGCCACTGCTGTAGACCCCTGCGAGCCACTCCAGCCCCTGCCCGGGTCTCTGGCGGACCCAGTGCATGGAGACACTGCCAAAACTGAAGCCAGACCCTCGGCAGATGAGGCGCAGGGACCCCCCGGGGGGCTGGAGGTCCCCCCCGCACTCCAGCAGGGTCACGGCCGCCCGGAGCCCTGCAGGGCAAAGGGGAGTTTGGGATGAGGCCAAAGCTCAACCCTTGACCCAAACCCTGAACCTTGGCCCCAAATTTGGAGCCTGGGAGTTCATCATCCTCCTGTCAGGGCGGTCCCGCCCCTTTTTACAGCAAGCCACACCTACTTTGACCCCACAGCCAATCAGGTTTCTCATCCTCATCTCTCCCCTTTGTCCCGTAGGGCTCCGGGCGGCCGTGACCCTGCTGGAGTGCGGGGGGGACCTCCAGCCCCCTGGGGGGTCCCTGACGTTGCTGTGCCGCGCATCTGGGTTTGATTTTGGCAGTTTTGGGATGGGCTGGATGCGCCAGAGACCCGAGCAGACACTGGAATACATCGCCAGTATCAGCAACAGTGGTGGCAGCACTGACTACGCGCCATCGGTCAAGGGCCGGTTCACGATCTCCAGGGACAACCGGCAGAGCTCGGTGACGCTGACCATGAACAATCTCAAGGTCGAGGACTCCGGATCCTATTTCTGTGCCAAATGTGCTACTAGTGGTTATGGTGGTGGTGTTGCTGGTTTTAGTGACAATTCCAGCAGTGGCCCCAGCCCTATGACGGTCACTAGATGTCTCCACTCCCAGTCATCCTTCCTCCAGAGCCCAGCTTTTCTCCCAAGTGTTAAAGAGTTTCCCCCAAACTCCGCCCCTGCTGCCTACACTCTACACTTTAACTCAATTTTGCCAATTTCACCAAAATCTCCCCTAGCTCCCTGGGCCCTGATTGGAGGAGGCCTGGACTGGAGCCCAGGGGTGAAGATTTGGGGCCAGTGGTTGAGTTTTGGGGCAGGAGCAGGGGAGGGTTTGGGGTCTGTGGCCACTGATGTTGCAAATGGAGTGAAAAGGTCAAGGAGTGCGTCAAGAAGAGAGGTTTGGGATGAAAATCAGAGCTTTAGGGACAAAATGAAGGGAGTGGGGCAAAAAGAATGGCCTGGAGGCAATCACCAATATTGTCACCATTGTTACCAGCAGCCCAGCAACCACTACAATAAGGTATGGCACAGAAATAGGATCCGGAATCCTCATCCTTGAGGTTGTTCATGGTCAGCGTCACTGAGCTCTGCCCGTTGTCCCTGGAGATCCTGAACTGGCCCTTGACTGAATCCGCATAGCCGGTGTTGCCACCAGTGTTGGTGATCCCTGCGACGAATTCCAGTCCCTGCCCGGGTCGTTGACGCATCCAGCCCATCCCAAATTGTCCAAAATCGAACCCGGACCCTCGGCAGAGGAGTCGCAGGGACCCCCCGGGGGGCTGGAGGTCCCCCCCACTCTCCAGCAGGGTCACGGACGCCCGGAGCCCTGCGGGACAAAGGGGAGAGTGGGATGGGAAACCTGATTGGTTCAGGGCCGCAAACTGGGAGGGTCAAGGTTGATAAAGTATCGAGACCCACCTGGGATAAGGATGATGAACTCCAAGGGTCCCAATTTGGGGCCAAGAGTCAGGATTTGGGTCAAGGGTTGAGCTTTGGCCCCATCCCCATCTCCCCTTTTTCCCGCAGAGCTCCGGGCGGCCGTGACCCCGCTGGAGTGCGGAAGGGACCTCCAGCCCCCCAGGGGGTCCCTGCGCCTCCTCTGCCGAGGGGCCGGGTTCAGTTTTCGGGAGCTACGACATGTTCCAGGTCCGCCAGAGACCCGGGCAGGGGCTGGAATTCATCGCGTGGATCTGCAGCAGTGGTGCTTACACCAACTACGCGCCGTCGGTGCAGGGTCGGATCACGATCTCCAGGGACAACGGGCAGAGCTCGGTGACGCTGACCATGAACAACCTCAAGGATGAGGATTCCGGATCCTATTTCTGTGTCAAACGTTACACCAGTGGTTGCGGTAATGCTGCTATGCTTATGGTGTTTATGGTTGTTGTGGTCCCAAGCCCTCTCCTCTCTCTTCCCAAGCATCACAGAATTCTCTGATCCTTCCCCAAAATCCTGGCTCTTTTTCTAACATCTCAGATATTTTCCCCCAAACTCCACCATCACTTCCCCAATTCCCAATTTCCTCTAATTTTCCCCATTCCTCCCCAGTCTGGCCCTTCCCCTCCGTCCCAGTGCAGAATGGGGATCACTCCGGGGCCCTTTGCACACAACGCTTTTTGTGCAGCCGGCGCTCTGCCGCAGCGCCCCGAGGCTGAGTTTCCCTTTGCCAAACACAGATGTTCACAGTGACCAAAACCAGGAACTTTCTGTTTCCTTTCCTGCCCCGGCCGGGCCCTGGCAGCTGCCGGGGAGGAAGTGGGGGGAGGCTGCGGAGCCCCAGAATCGCGGCGTCTTCTCCTCCCTCCCTCCCTTTGTCCCACCTGGGGCTTCACTGCTCCCTCAGCGGCCGCGGTGTCTGGTGCTGCTCCTTGGGGCTGGGCTGGAATCCTCTCTGGGAGCTATGGAGAAAAAACCATTTTTTTAGCCAAAAACACATGAAAAAATTGGGGAAATTGAATTTTTCCACAAATTTTCACATTGATCCCCAGCCAAGGGCTCCATGCTGAGAGAAGCAGAAGGGTGCAAGGGTGTAGTCACCTGGAATGTTCCATTGGTCAAGGGCAGGGTCAGCACGGTCAGGGACAGTCCAGGAGCCAAAATGGCCCTGAATGGGCCCCGAGCTGAGGTGTGGGACCAGGAGCTGAGAATGTGGGGCAGGGCCAGGGCAGGGTTGGGGCACGGGGACAGTAATGGGGTCAGGGGCTGGGGATTGGGGGAAGGGGCTGGGGAACGGGGACAGGGGGGACACAGCGATAAGGGTGGGGTCAAAACCATCAGCAGCACCATTACCCCAACCAGCAGCAGCAGCTTTGGCATAGAAATAGGATCCGGAATCCTCGTCCTTGAGGTTGTTCATGGTCAGCAGCACCGAGCTCTGCCCCTTGTCCCTGGAGATCCTGAACCGGCCCTTGACCGATGGCGCGTAGCCGGTGGCTCCCCCAGTGTTGATCCCCGCGAGCCATTCCAGCCGCTGCCCGGGACTCTGACGGATTCATGACATGTCAAAATTCCCGAAACTGAACCCGGACCCTCGGCAGAGGAGGCGCAGGGACCCCCCGGGAGGGTTGGAGGTCCCCCCCGCACTCCAGCAGGGTCACGGCAGCCCGGAGCCCTGCGGGACAAAGGGGAGATGGGGATGAAGGAAAAAATCCACCCAAATCCTAATTCCTGCATCCAGATCCTGATGTTGGCCACACACTGTGTCACTTTGTTCTCCTCCCCATCCTGCTGGCCCTCCCAGGTGGGTTGACGTCCCTTTTGGCATCTGGTCACCCCCAGCCCAGCCCACACCCGGATCCGGGGCCTGATCTCCATCTCCCCTGGAGATGAGACCCAGGCAGGGGCTGGAGTGGCTCGCAGGATCAACACTGGTGGCAGCACCGGCTACGCGCCATCGGTCAAGGGCCGGGTCACGACCTCCAGGGACAACGGGCAGAGCTCGGTGACACTGACCATGAACGACGTCAAGGACGAGGATTCTGCCACCTATTTCTGTGCCAAATCTGGTTATGCTGGTGCTTGGGGTCCTGGTGCTTATGGTGAAGACCCCAGCGGTGGATCCACGCACCCATCTCAGCGTCCCCAGCTGTCCCCAAACCCCCAACATTTCCCCCAATCCTCAGTCCTGGGCCCATCCCCGCTTGGGGGTCTCTGTCCAAATCCCCACCAGGATGGGGCTGTGGGGATCCCTCTGGAGCCGTTTGGTTTCCCACCATCGCTCTCCTCACTGGGCTGTGGCATTGGGGAGGTGCCGGCGACTCACGGCCCCAGCAGCACACACAGAACTCAATGGCGCCGCTCACCGCGAGAGGTTTGTGGCCAATCACACAAAGCAAAGGCAGATTGACACGGTAGGGCTGGATCTGGGACGTCCTCGTCAGTTTTTGGGAATTTGGTTTGGACGTGGAGCCCAGAGCTGAGGTTTGGGGCCAAGAGCTGAGATTGGGGCAGAGCCAGTTCAGAGCTGGGACACGGCGACAGGAATGGGGTCAGGGGCTGGGGACTGGGGGAAGGGTCTGGGGAACGGGGACAAGGGGGAAACAGCCATGGGGATGAGGTCAAAACGACAGGCGTCATTAGCAGCAGCATTGTTATAATAACCCCTGGAACAGAAATAGGATCCGGAATCCACGACCTTGAGGTTTTTTCACGGTCAGCGTCACCGAGCTCTGCCCGTTGTCCCTGGAGATCCTGAACCAGCCCTTGACCAACGATGCATAGAAGGTCCTGCCACCACTGCTGATCCCCGCGAGCCACTCCAGCCCCTGCCCGGGTCTCTGACGGACCCAGCTCATGGACTGACCCCCAAAATTGAACCCAGATGCGCGGCACAGTAAGGTCAGGGACCCCCCTGGGGGCTGGAGGTCCCCCCGCACTCCAGCAGGGTCACGGCCACCCGGAGCCCTGCGGGACAAAGCGGAGATGATTAAAAATGAGAAATGTGATTGCTCCAGAAGGGGAAAAGGTGCGTGTGCTCCAGGAAAAAGGGGTGGAGCCCACCTGGGAGAGCCAGCAGGAGCAGCAGGACCTGGAGCCAGGGGGAGCTCAGGGCCAAGCCCGGGATGTGCCGGGGTTGGGGTCCCGGAGGGGTTTGGGGGTTTTTAACGTGGTATTGCATTTGAAATCAATGTGGAACACTCAGGAAAAGGTGTCCAATTAATTAATGAGAATATTGAGTTAACTTGCAGATTTTGAGGAATGTCAGGATACCCGAAAAAATCTGGTGGAGATTTGGGACCAAACCAGTGATGTTATGAGTGAAATTGGTGAAGATTTGGGGATGGGGGAGCAGCCGTGACCCTGCTGGAGTGCGGGGGGGACCTCCAGCCCCCCGGGGGGTCCCTGTGCCTCCTCTGCCGGGGATCCGGGTTCAGTTTCGGCAGTTTTTCCATGCAATGGGTCCGACAGCGACCCGGGCAGGGGCTGGAATGGGTCGCGGGGATCAGGAGCGATGGTGCTGACACTGGCTATGCGCCATCGGTCAGGGGCCGGGTGAGGATCTCCAGGGACAACGGGCAGAGCTCGGTGACGCTGACCATGAACAACCTCAAGGACGAGGATTCCGGATCCTATTTCTGTGCCAAATGTGCTGCTGCTGGCAATTGGGGCGATGCTGCTGCTTATGCTGAAGACACCAGTTGTGGATGCACCCCCGTCCCCATGTCCCCCCCGTTTCAGGTCCCCAGAACCTTCCCTCAAACGTTACCCATTGACTCAGATCTTGACCCTTTGTCCCCAATCTCCCCCATTTGCCCAATGGTCAGCACTGACCCCAAACCCTCCCCTGCTCCTGCCCCACAACTCAACCATTGGCCCCAAACCTTCACCCCTGGCTCCAGTTCCGGCCTCCTCCAATCAGGGCCCCGGGAGCTGGGGGAGATTTGGGTGAAATGGGCAAAACTGGGGAGACAATCGAGACTAGGGGAAGGATGGGGCAAAGTCTGGGGGAAAATGGTGAAGATTTGACACAAAGGACTGGGATGCCGGGGAAGGATCTCTGGGCATTGGAGACATTTTTTGACCAACATGGGGGTGGTCTGCTAACAGAATTTTCGCCAATAAGAGCAGGACCAGAAAAACCATAATCATTATTGCTACGTTTGGCACAGAAATAAACAGCGGAATCTTCGTCCTTGACGTTGTTCATGGTCAGCGTCACCGAGCTCTGCCCGTTGTCCCTGGAGATCCTGAACCGACCATTGATTGATGGCGCGTGGTGGGTGGTGCCAACACCATTGATACTTGCGAGGTATTCCAGCGTCTTCCCAGATTTCTGGCGAATCCAGAACATTCCATAATTCCCAAAATCGAACCCAGACCCTCGGCAGAGGAGGCGCAGGGACCCCCCGGGGGGCTGGAGGTGCCCCCCGCACTCCAGCAGGGTCACGGCCACCCGGAGCCCTGCGGGACAAATGGGAGATGGGGATGAGGAACCTGATTGGTCGAGGGCCTCAAACCAGGCGTGGCCATATGGAAAATGGTGTGGGACCCACCTCGGAGGGCCAGCAGGGGCAGGAGCACACACCTGCTCCTCCCAACCGGTTCGGGAGGGATTCCTCGGAAATGAGTAGTAAGAACCTGTTTATTTTACAGGCACAGCACCCCCCAGCACAGAAAATAAACAACACCAGATGACGCCACTCCTTCATTGCTCTGAAAAAGATGACAAATTCAGAAAGTCTCTCTCAGGGGTGGTCGCTCTGTTATCAGTCCCTCCGGTGCTGGGGCAGCTGCTGCAGCCACAAGGTGCAAACTCTCAGTGTTTCCCAGGTCCTAGTCCAGAGCAGGTCCAAAAAAGGGAAAGGAGAAACAGTCCAGGGAAAATTCTGATTGCCAGGTTGAACTAACTAAAGAGCAGGAGCAAAAAGCAAGAGCAAAATAAGCCCTGCGTACTGCCCCGTCTCTGTGTGCCACCGACTGCTGGGGGAGTGAAAAGCTGATAACAAAATAAAAGGAAACAGAAACAAAACAAATCAAAACAAAATATTCTCTCTTAGAGCCATTCTTGAAGTCACAGACCATAATATCCAGCATAAAAAGAAAAA